CTCGGCTCACGTCACATCCGTCATTGCCTTATTCAATAGCCAACACATTCCCACTACTTCAAATCTCTTATTTTTCCAAGGAATATTGAAATATCAATAAAAGTTCAATTAAATGTGTTTTTTATTTAATGGTTAATATTTAATTAATTAATTTATTAATTAATTTAAATATTATAAAGATTTATTATCGAGATATCTTAAGATCAGTTATTTTATTCATAACACCACGATACAAATATCTAATTTTATATTAAAAAATTATTTTAATTAAGTAAATTTAAAATTTTAGATATAATTTTTACCTCAAAATCGGATTAAATTTTATTCAAAAAAAATATTTTAAAGTGTTATTTTATTCAAATCATATTTAAACAAATTATGGCTTGGTTAAAAATTAATACGTTTAAATTTTTTAACTAATATTTCTTTAAAATTATAAATGTGATGAGTGTCACTGTTACGTACATTAACTAAAATACACTTGAAATATTTAAAGTGAACAGAAAATATAATTTAAATCTGTATCTTTTAATTATGTTATAAATTATAAATCTAATTAAACGCGTCTCATGATAGTCTTTATCCCGTAGAATGAGAAAGTCGGATCCTTGAATCCCAACCATTCTTCACTTTATGTCAGTTTTTGCTTCTTCTTTTTTTAATTCTTGTCTCTTTACTATGGAAATTCATAATTTCCATATTAAAGGCATCGATCTAATTTCTGAAACACAACTTTTTAAGTTAGATAATTAAACTGAATAAATAATTTTAAAAATAATATATCTTACTATGTAATTTCTTTTATTATAATTAATAATATTTAATTTATTAATTTAAATCAAATATTAAAAAGTTTATAATAAAGATGCTTTTTTAATCTTAAAAATAGACTAGCTAAGCTAAGGCTCGTTCATGCTTCCCATAAATAAAAATTGTAAACAACTTGAACTCTCCAAAACTTTACTCAGACCATCTCCAATCCTCTCTCTACTCTAGTGAATCTCTATCTTTACTCTAGAGATTAAACAGTAATTCATCTCCAGCACAATCTCTACATTACCACTAATTCTACTTTATTCACAATATTTAATTATTATAATATTAATTTTATAAATATAAAAAAAATCAGAAAAAATATAGAATATATTTTAAATTTTAAATAATAAACTTATGTAGCATCAGCTACAGTACCGCGCTAGATATAGCTCGGTACTGTAGCAAATCGTTACTGTGGCGATAGGGATGGCGCAGCACAGAGAGCTTGGTTAACTCTACTTTGGAGAAAATCTCCAATGCAGCGCAGCATTGGAGATGCCCTCAAAAAGTTAATTTCAATTAGCTATTTTTGTTACTTTTAGTAAAGAAAACAACTCAATGAACAACTCGCCCATGCTGATTAATTTAACTTGACGCAACAGCCAATGTTGTTCATTATTTAACTATCCTTGTGAGTTTTGTTTCTGTTGAATGAAAGATGATAGTAATAATATTTTTTGAACACTTTATTTCTTTTTTATTTGAATAAAAATTTAATTGTAGAATTTAAAAAATAAATATGGTAGGTGTTTAATAACAAGTAATTACTTTAATGTCATGAATGGGGAAAACCCTTAAATTGGATAAAGTTAATTTTAAATTTAGTCTGGTGTCCCTTTAATTAGGATAGGGTGGATGAAAAATTAATGTTTTACACCTTGAACTATAGTCTCAGACATAGAGTGACTGGACTTTCTGTTTATAGTGGGTGAGACATTAAATTATTACTGTAAACTCGTAATTATATTTATCTACTAAATTTCATAAATAAGTATATTGTAAAAATATCCTTTAAATTATAATTTTTTATTTTATATAAATATATGATTAATAAAATCAATATTACCAAAATTTTTAATTCATAAAGGTAAAAGGAGTTAACATTATATGCCGTCACTTTCATGTGAATTGGACTCTTCCTATCAGAAACAAAATAACAAATAAAAAAACACGTGAGCCCTATACCTAAACAGTAAATCTCACCCGTCTAAACAGTTGGATGCCCAGAAAATGAAATACTAAACAAATAAAAGGGGCAAGGAGAGAGAGGTGGTGGCCAAGATTTGCGCCATCTTTTTCAGTGCAGCCTTTGGTATATGTTGACGTCCTTCATTTTTTCAGATAAGAAACTTGGAACTCACACATTTTAAGCAATGCTTCAACCCCACACTCCCTTTCTCATGCGATGCACTTCGACACTAATTATGATGTGAGACTTTCTGCTACACAACTTGTGTGCCAGTTTGTTCAGTTATTTTAAGAAAAGGTTTACACTTTACAGCAGCAGACAATTCCCTAAAAAGCAATAACCAAAGTAGATGTGGGAGGAAAACAATGAACCGTAACGCAAGCAAAGATAAGTAAACAATGATTGGGTGGGCAAGATTGAAAGCAAGGGCGGTGGCCATCAAATTTCAGGGTCTTAGAACGTGCCTACATGTGTGCCAACTTAATTGAATTTTGAGATACATAGGGTTTTGGTTAGCACAAGTTGGCCAAATTCAATTTTGATTAAAAGCGCTCTGGTAATGTTTTCATATGAGCAGCAGTTTTGGGCTAGCTGGATTCCATGGTTATCTCTAACCCACACCGCCTTCTCATGACACTCATGCCATATTAATTGTCTCATTTCATCTCCATCTAATTTAATTTATTTTATTTATAAAACTTATCATCATTGTAATATTACTAATACCATATATATAATTATAAAAATATAGTTTTATGCCTGTCAAGAAAATAAGCAGAATGTTCGATCTAATAAAATAACTTGGAGACTATATTACTAATCCTAACTATAAACTAGATTCGGGTTTACTTAACTCTTTCATATAATCATTTTTAAAAAGTATATATCAAATTTGATATATATAAGTTTGTAGGTTCATCCATGAAACTACAATCATGATTTAAGGATTTGAATAAAATTTAATTTGTCATTAATCTTATTTACGTTTTCCATTTTAGTTATATGTTGGTTTGCCCATCAGATTACTCTTTTATTAATTTAATTTGTTTAAATTTTATATAGATACTAGTTGATTATGATTTTTAATAATTTGAAACTTATTGTAAAGATGTATTGTTATTTACATGATTTTGAACAATTGGACATCATGATCATGAGATGGCAGAAAATGAAATCCAAAGATAAATTAAATCCAAAAATAAAACTACCAAATTATACTTAATATTATCAACTATAAACTAGTATATCAAAACGTGATTGTTAAATACTTTAAATAATAGTTCATGTAAATTATAATGGTGTGAATAACATAAATGGAATTAAGAGGATTGTACTAATAATAAATATTATGCTTTTTATTTTAAATTAATTGATTAAAATATTAAATAATATTTTTTATAAAAATAATAATTTAATCCTCTAATAAATTAGAAAATCTATTTTTTAAAAAAAGGTTTAGAGGTACTTGAGACTTTCAAACGTTGGAAAAAACCAATATGGTATGTGGATTTATTTAGGACCCTTAAATTAAGAAAAAAAAATCAATTTGATTCCCTGACCAATGAAATTTGACATTGATTGCTACATAGCTAACGTGACGATTCATATTGAATAACGACATGATAAAATGACTTAATTGATTATTTTAGATGGTTCGAAGACTTTATTAATTTTTAAAAAAGTATGAAGACTTTATTTTCCAAAAATAATTCTTTTTAAAATAAAAAATTATGAAATATTCAAAAAATAAAAATAATAAGAATCAAAGTTATTTTACTAAAAATAAAAATATTATTAAAAATAAAAAATAAAATATATTAGGAGTAAAAAAAGATAAATTATTAATTATTAAAACAATAAAAATTTAAGCATATCCTCATAAAAAGTCTCAATGGTATACTTTTATTTATTCAAAAAACTTTCAATCGATATCTAATAATAAAAAGAATATTATTATTTGGAATATTTTATATATACATTAAGACACAATGATAATATAAATTTTAGTAGAGTCATGCTCATATCTTTTAGATTGTAAGACAAGACAAACATATTTTAATTTCATTACTTTTGTAACTAATCACTTTAAAGCTTTTTAATTTTATAATTTAATCTTATATCATTCATTTATGTATATAAGAATGTCAGACGTGTGTATATATATATATATATTCATTTAAATTGTATAATTCATATTTCAATCATATTATGTAACTACAAGGAAAAATATAGGATTTTATGTTAAATATGACGAACTTAAACTTATAAGCTTTTAGGGGACGAAAATAGATTTTCAATAAAAAATATATAGAAAAAACTTAATATATAATAATAATAATAATTTTAACCTGTCTCAACTTAGATCTATCCTTACGTATAAATACATATATTTTTACATCAGGAGTATTTAAAACATATTATTTAATCTAAATTATATACGATAATACTATCGAACTATCAAATATTATATATAATATGTATATATGTAATATATACATGAAGGTTAATATATAAACATGAAGATAATTAAATTTATTTATAAAGATGTAGGAATTCCGCTTGATGTAATGACTACCTAATATTAAAATAAACATGAATTAAGTTCATATTTTAAAAACACGCATGGGTATAACATAACTCATTTGTTCGAAGGGTGCAGTTATATAAAAGTATCAAGTAAAAAATCTTGTAGGATGGGTCATATCTACGGCGTTTTTCAAGACAGAGGAAGGTAAACCGTTTTTTTTTTTTTTTTGGAAATTCAAATAAAGGTTGAGAAACAAGTAAATTATCCTCACCAATCTCGTGCATTAATCATAGGAAAATTCAATTCATCCATACAATAAAGTGGAGCGCCTACCAGATTTACCAAATAAAATAAGTCGCATACAAAATTATTTAAAAACGCTCTCTTTCACATGTATAAAAGGAGCGTTTGCGCCACAATAACGTCCTGTAACCTCAGTTTTGCTTATTTTGCCTCAAAAGCAATCCTTTTCTTTTTCCCAAAACACAGTTGAATTCTTGAGTGCGAGTTGCAATGGAGTGGATTCGAGGGGATACGATTGGGTTCGGAAGTTTCGGTACTGTCAATATGGTACTACCCAAAACTGGGTTTTCCAAATCTCCTTTAATGGCTGTCAAGTCTTGTGAAGTCATCGACTCTGTTTCGCTGAAGAACGAGAAGGAAGTGCTTGATCGAATCGGTTCTTGCCCGCAAATCATCCGCTGTTTAGGTGATAATTACACGGTCGAAAAGGGTGGGGAGTGTTATAATTTGTTCTTGGAGTACGCTGATAAAGGAAGCTTGGCTGATCAGGTGACGAAAAGCGGCGGGAATTTGATGGAATATGATGTTAGAAGATATGCAAGATCCATACTTAAAGGACTACGCTTTGTTCATTCAAACGGGTTCGTTCACTGTGATATTAAGCTTCAAAATATTCTCTTGTTTGGTAATGGTGACGTGAAGATTGCTGATTTTGGATTGGCGAAGAGGAATGGGGAAGAACAGAGGAGGGTGGAAATCAGGGGAACTCCTCTGAATATCGCACCAGAGTCGGTCAATGAAAACGTGTATGATTCGGCGGTGGATATTTGGGCACTTGGATGTGCCATTGTTGAGATGTTTACTGGAAAACCAGCTTGGAATTTCAAACCAGGGACAAACCTGGCCGCTTTGTTGATTGAGATTGGGGTTAGCGATGAATTGCCTGGAATTCCTCCAGAGTTATCCGAGGAAGGAAAAGATTTTCTCGGAAAATGCTTCGTTAAGGATCCAAAGAAGCGATGGACGGCTGAGATGCTCCTGGATCATCCATTCATGGCCGGTGATGATGACATTGTTTCACTGAATCGATGCGAAGAAGAAGAAGAAGAATCAACGTCCCCAAGATGTTCAATTGAAGAATTCTCAACTTCACCAAGATGTCCCTTTGAATTCCCAGACTGTGTTTCAACTCAATCAAGCTCTGTTCCTTCCTTCTCCATTTCCTCACCTTGGGATCGAGTTCGTGAATTGGCTTGCGATGAAGCAGCCAATTGGACAATTTCAGAGAGCTGGATCACATCGAGGTAGATGAAAATCAATAGAGTTTCGTAGCCTTCAATCAAATCTGATGGCTTTGATCAATTGGTGGTGTTTTCTTATATTTTTTAATTGTAAATGATTAAGTAAAAAAAAACATAGATACTGACTTTTTCTTTTCTGATGAAGACTTCTTATTGGCCACTTAGTTTGGCTACATAGTGTACAGTTGAATCATTAACAATTTCCCAATACCTTTCCCAGCAAATATTAAGAACATGGCATTTTGCAAGAATTTTGGTGGCATGCTTCAGTTCAAGTTCCAAATTTTACCTAATACAGTTCATTAAAATATTGTTATATAATTAATTAAACTAAAACTTTGAATTCGGTGAATAATGATTTTTTCGGCATCCAGAAAGTACAAAGATATAGGCAGGCAGGCAGGCTGTAGGCTGCCGACACCTCTGCCCGTCGGCGCTGGATAAATCTTGATATTAATTGATTAATATATTATACAGATTTGTGACCACCCACATGATCGGCATGCCAATGCCATTCCAACAAATGCATGTATACTATATCAACGTGTTAAATGGGATGCATAAGTTAACGAATAATAACAACCCCAAATGTCCTTTCACAACTGACGCTAGTTTGTTGCTGTTGTTGTGAAGACTTCGATTGTTGTAAGAAAATTAGAGTTACGTTAACTTGGACATAATTACGAGTGAGTTGTATACTTTAATTATGATCAAATTGGAATGGCGGGTAATTTTCGTGGTGCTACCTTCCGATGCAGCATTGAGGAAGGATGTCTATTGGAGCTCAACAGAGCATTGGGATTGAGATCTGCCGGCCATGGGAATATTCTATGTGACTAAATTCTGAGTAAATAAATTTGAGATCATATATATATTTGAAAGTTAACTTTTTTTCAAAAATAAGAATTTTAAAAGAATTTTTTATAAGTTCGTTTAAAAAATTATAAATTTAAAACTATATATATATCGGAATTTTGAAGAATTTTTATTGAGAGGGATCAATTTATATGTTTTTGATACTAGTAGGGCCTCCATGGGTATTTGCACCAATTAATATATGGTTTATTCAATTCATTTGAATTGTTAAATTCAACTTAATTGAAAATTATAAATATTTAAAATCTGAAAATTTTCTCACTTCGAATCATTTTTTCCCGACTCTAATAAAATAGACATGAGAAATAAAATACATATTATAATTTATTCTTATGAAATATAAATTATATTTAACTTTTTTTTTATCTAAATTTAAATGGAATCCCCTTGTCAGTTCGTTTATTTCTGTAATATTCACAAATACAAACCTTATCATTTTTATTTAAACTCCACCACAGTATAGCATAAACCAGAAAATGAAGAAGGTGGTTGTAAAAAACTGAAACTCAGCAATATCTTCAACTCCCATGCTATAGCATAGCTGGTTCCTTTTTCCAATTGGCCAAATATTTTAATTGATTAGTCTAATAAGGCATGTTGAAGTTTATTTTGAGATCTACGACATTTGGTACAGTAAACCTAAAACTTGTCACATTTTCTTTGAAAATTATTTTTCAATGGTTCCAGGTATGTGAGCCTCATATAGGCCAATATTTTATTATTTCCAAAGAAATTCGTCGTCTTGACTTGACGAGTCTTGTTAAAAATTAATTTTTATTTGCATCTTTGCTAAATAATTTGAAAATCTAAAAGATTACAAATCTCGTCATCTCGAGGTGACGAGTTTGCCTTGAATTTGAAAAAAGCAGTTGTTTCTAGCCATTGCACAACATGCAAATGCAACGGACATATTGCAACGGTCACTATGGAACTCGTCACCTAGAGGTGATGAGTTTGATGGGATTTTTGAAATAATTAGTCATTTTTGGACGTTGGGTTTGGGGTTATGAATAGGAGTTTTGGGTTTAGGTTTTGTATTGTGTTTTGTTAAGAAACAAATTGAAAAATATTCAAAATTTCGAAAAATGCCGACCCGCGATGAAATGTTACGCCTCGGTGATGTCCATATTTCTTCGCTCAAGCTCGGACCGGATGAAGAATAGAGCATTGGAATGGGTCTCCGAGATTCACATTAGCGAATTATTATATATTTGCAACAATTTGGGCATCAACGACAGTTTTGTGTGGTTTCAAGGTGAACCTGACGTTGATTATGGCTTTCATTGAACGTTAGAAGTTGGAGACGCATACTTTCCATTTTTCGAGTGGTGAAACTATAATTACATTGGTAGATTTCGCTTACCAACTTGGTGTTATTGTTAATGGTGCACCAATAGTGAGGCACAACAATTTCGACCTATTCAGAATTGTTCAGAAAGTCTTGAGAAAGATGCCACCGTCAGAGGTTTTAAAGGGGTACTAGATATGGATAACCTGGTTAGAGTTCAAATTTAATGTGATGGATGACTCTACCGAGCAAGAGGTGATTTTTGTTGCCTGAGCGTATTTGCTCCAATTGATTGGAGGGATATTGTTATTGGATAAAGTTGGTAATTTTACACACATTCAGTATATTATGATATTGGAGAATTATATTGTGTGTCGCAACACTAGTTGGGGCTCGATGATTTTGGCTTATTATACCGGGAACTTTTCAAGCCTTCAATCATCCAACAAGGTCAAAAAGGAGATGTAGCGAGTTGTCTAGTCCTGATACAATCTTGGGCATAGAATCAGTTCTAGTTTTTCACGCCAATTACACTCGTCTTAATTGAGTTTTCTCTCTCTGCAAGATAATTTTTAATTTCTGTGATTTTTTTAATTTTGAGTTTTTATATTATTTAGATGGTGACATAAAATTACCAAGACGAAGTTGTCAGGTGCAACTAAAAGAGATATACAGATGAGAATCGATATCGTTAGTCGACATACGGTAAATATTATTGTTTTTAAATTACTAAAACTTAATTAAATTTTTTCAGTTTATTTATACAAACTTTTATTATTAATGTTTACAGTTTTCTTGGATCTTGTATTATGACGATAAGATCCACTAGGTATTGCCATATGGGTTTTTTTGAAGGATTGAAGTTGTGGTGTGTTGTAACGCCTCTGCTACACTTTGCAATTGTTGAGATTCATGCGGCAGATAAAGTGTTGCGACAGTTTGGGTCTCATCAACTGATTCCTATGTAAATTATTAATATGGACACACTTCATAGAATTGATACGCATTGGAAGCATACCCATAATTAGCCAAGGAAACATGCTAATTACATTGAGCAATGGAATCAACATCATTTCTCGATCCCTATATATTACGAGATTATACCCGCCGACCTTGATTTTGACATTTCACCCTTCTGTTGAACCATTTTTTATAATATTTTGGTATAACAAATTAAGGCAAATTGTTTTTGGACTTGAATTGAATTTTTCAAAGATTTCAAAAGTTTTCAAAAATAATTCAAAGTCCATTAAAATAGAATTTGAGCACAAAAATGCTTTTTTTGGGTATGTAGTACCGATATTGTTCTTATAGTATCGATACTGCATGAACAGTACCGATACTGTTTACTTGGTATCGATACCAAATGTAAGAGAAGTATCGACACTCTATAGGTAGTATCAATACTACCAGTTGTTTTTCAAATAGCTCAAATTCTAGAGTGCAAAATAGGTACCAATACCTAAAGGGGTACCGAACTACTTTAAATAGTAGTATCGATACCATGATCATAGTATCGATTTTGGTCAGACCCAACGGCTAGTAACAACTAGTTTATTTATATATTATAAAGTAAGTACCGACACTCATTAATGGAGTACTGATAATCCCTGTCTTGAGTAGTTTTATTTTGTAGAAAATTATCCCTAATGGCTCCTAAACATCTCCAATAGCTAGAAACGACCACAAACTCATTCTAACATATAAAAACAAGTTGAGGACACTTGAAGAAGGGTCAGAACACCTATCCAAGCAATCAAGCACAAGAGAAGAGTTTTTCATTCTTATTTTACTTTCTCTCGTAAATATTTTTGTTCTTGTGAGCTTAATTATGTAAACACCTACCTTGTAAGGGTTTTCTTGTTTACATTTTTTAACCTTTTGTAAAAGGGGAGTGATTCTATCGTAGTCATTGAAAAAATAAGGATTTGTAAAAGTTATCTCTTTATCCTATGAAAAAAAGAACAAATTAGTGAATTTGTTAGAAAATCCTTGATGAGGAGCTAAGGTGATAGATGTAGACTTGGTTGAAAAATTGAACCACTATAAATCATTGTTCATCAATTTTCTTATTCTTTAAATCTTCTTAATCCCTAAATTTTTCTCAAAACCACTTCAACCCCTCTTGGCAAATTCTTTCGGTTGTTCAATTGAGCTTCATCTTAAATCCCAATAATTGGTATCAGAGCTTGACTCATTAAAAGGTCTAACAACCTTGAGACGATCCTTAAAGAAACTCTACCAATTTCTGACATAACCGAGAATATGACTTCCACCTCCGGATCATTCTACATGGAAGACTCTCAACCGATCAACAAGTCTCCATACTTCAATGGAGAAAAATACCGTCATTGAAAGAAATTAATGAAGTTATTCATCAAATCCAATGATCTTGACGCATGAGATATGATCGAGAACGATTACTCTTCTCCAAAGAAGAAGACGAATGAGTGGTGTACCCAAGAATGAAATAAATCAAAACAAAATACCAAGGCCATGCACATGTTGTTTTGTGCATTTGATTTCGATGTCTATGAAGGCATTTCTTCTTGTTCAAATGCCAAGGAGCTTTGGAATAAACTTGAAGAACTTCATGGAAACATGAAAGAATAACCAACAAAGGCGACGTCCTTAATGGCAGCCAAAGTATTATGGTCCATACAAGATTTTAGAGAAAAATCGAGGAAGTTGCATATTGTCTAGACTTACCTATAATGTCACGTTTGCACCCGAAATTCCATGTTAGCCTCCTGAAAAATGTATTGGTGAATCCTCGACATCTACAACCGATCCTCTGTAGTAGATGAAGATGGTCAGTTAAAAATAGATCCCTCTAAGATATTGGATAGAATTATTGTTAATCGTGCTAACAAACCAGTGACTCAACTTTAGTACGTTGGGCGAATCTGGATGAGACACACGATACTTGGAAGGATTTCTCCGTTCTCAAAGGACAATTTCCCTCATTTGATC